TCTTTACTCTTTGGAGGTAATGGCATTAGTGAGAATATGTTCTAAACTTGTGATCAGATTGTTAAACATTCTTATAAATAGCAAGAGTACCCCCATTTTAGGCAATGCTGTGCATGTTTGTGACATTTGCACTTTTGTGTGGTACTTTACATGCTAGCCATTACTGCTTAGCAAGGACAGATGAGTGATACTGTTAAAACTTTATGTATGTTTTAAGGATGTAACAGTTTATAGCAACTTCCTTTACTCTTTTATAGTGGTTATTCAGTGATATATTTGTAGACCAGATGTCCTCTCTTTTGTGATCTCTTAAGCTAAAAACAAAACAAAAATTACATATATCTTGAGGTAAATTGGATCATTTCTATTTTGCACTGCACTTGAGTAATGTTTTGAGTTGAATGTTCTCAGGGTTCTAAAATTAAGTTAATCCATATGTAATTAGGAACATTCTTAACTAGACAGTCCTGGTTAGCAAGAGATTGGCAGATTATTCTGAAACACTAGGTAGCAAACCATGGATGGCAATTAAATAAAAAAAGAATAAAATTCTCTTTAAAATAGGTTGTTGCAATAGCTTAATGTGGTAATATGATTTTCTATTTTTAATTGCTGTAGACAGTGCATTTTTTAAAGCAAAATTTTGTCTTCTGAGAGCTAGTTTCATAATTTTGTACTACTTATGCTGTTTAACGCTTCAGCAAGTATTTTGCGTTTGCAATCCCTTTTGATTTGTGATGGATAAAATAAAATAAAGGTTAGTAAAGATAGTGTTGCACATCTCAAACAGACAAGAATATCTTGGAGAAGCTAAGTATTTCTCTTTATGAGACTGTATGACCTTATGTTATACAGTTATGTTGTATTTATGTTAATGTATAATGCTTTTATGATAACAATGCTTTTATTCCCAGAATAATTATACTTAACATTGACACTTAAAAATGCGCTTTTTACATTCAAATAATGACAACTTTGCTCTATGTTCCATGTCAATATCAGGATTCAGGGAGGGCTGAACATAATAAACACCTGGTTCTTCATTTACTCTTCCCCAGACGCCATGTGCTTAATACTGTGTATAGTCCCTTGCTTATGTCTTCATTTGCAGGAGTCATTTCAGAAGGAAGTGATGACAGTGCCATCTTTTAGTAAATAACAATAAGTCACAGTCTACTGAATATAAAAACTGTAGATTCTCAGTTGCTTAAAACCACCTTTATCACATAAACTATGTTTTCTTGGTCTCTAAATTAGTATCAAAATACAGAGGAGATTGTTTCTTCAATTAAATGTGAAAGATTAATCACTGTAGTGATTTGTTTCACAACAGACAATAATTAAATGTCAAAAATGGAATATTTACTTCTTAAGCCTCATATGTCCGAGAAAAAAGTACTGGAGAAGCATAAAAATCTGGTGCTATTTGCATATATGTTGATTGAGTTGACATGGAGGTTTACATATAAATAAAATTATTTAATATTAGAATTACATAATGCATTTATTTTTATTATAGTTGCACATGCTATTCTTAGAGGACAAGAAATTTCCCCCATATCCGAAGTACAATGTGGAGGGGAAAAAAAATGGCAACACTGAGTCTCAGCTCTCTGGTATTCTGGGGATATGCCTTTTGGGGTAAGGAGAAATAATGAGGATTTCCCAAAGTAACATGAAAGTGAAACAAATGAATATAAAAGTGATAAATGTTACTTTTCTATTTCTCTCTTGCTCTTATTTTCACCACTCTGCACTACTGATTGCAGCACCACCAGATCAGAATGAACAATTAACTGTCTAATTATTCTAGTCACAGCAGCCCACAATGAAATCTTTATTCCGTGTTTACAGCAATCTTTGGCAGAGGCTGTCTTGCTGTTTCTAAACTAAGAAGAACTGCCCTTTGGCTCCTCTCGGCATCAGCTGCCTTGGTTTCAGCCCTGGATGCCAATAATCAGACTTCTTTTTCTTCCAAAGTGGACATTTTTTTTAGGGTGAAAAGACCTATTCTCATCACCCCCCCATATATTTTGGCTGATTTATGTTCTCGTCACTGCAGCTCTTCCTTCCGTATCTCTTTACGTTTCTCCTTTCTCCATAGAACACCATCAGCAAAACCCCATTTTAGTTCCAAAATTGTAAAAAATGCTTAGCCAAACAGTGCTCACTACTATGAGGGAAAGAAAAATACAACTACTGGTTTATGGGTAGAGGGAAGTCAAGGAAATCCCTCCCGCTTTTCTAAACTGCTAATTTTCTAGCTCAAAAGGCATTCAGTAACTTCTCCACCAGGGGAAAGCATACCCACTTTTCAGTGGCTCTCTTAATGATTTCCAACTATTTACTTAAATCCACCAACAGCTGCAGGTCTTTGAGAAGCTTCAGAACTTGGGGGATATTTACAAATGTATAAGGGTCTCAGAGGGTAGAGGGTACATCTGAGTCTCTTGGAGATGGCAAGAGAAGACTACTGCACTACAACAGACAGCAAGAGAGAAGTTAATACCAATCCAAAGTCTAGAAGGATGCAGTGCTTTTACCCAATGGAGGAGGGAAAAATACCTTGGTTAACCCTCTGGGCTATCTCATGGAGTCCCCTTCCTGAATCTAAGAGCAGAGAACAAGCAGTGCTAGATCCGTTATCCTAAGCTGCTCAACTGCTTTCTCCAGACAAACATTTCTTTGCTCTGCCAGGATGGTGGCATCTTCTTTCCCATTCCAGTCTCCAAACCCTGTGTAACAGTTCCACTAACAACTCTCACTATCTCCTCTCAGCCCTCAGCACTACTCAAATCGCCTTTCCGGTGAGAACTGGGTCATAAAATTTTACAGGGCAGAAAGGTAGAAGGGGGCGTTTCAGTAGTATAAACACTGATTAAATTTCCCGGCAACTCTCCCCAAACGAAAGATAATTTTTCTACAAATATGCACAAGAATGTCAAGAATGCTAAGTCATTTTTATGTTTGTACTTTCCTTTTCCATTTTAATTTTACACTGCCACATGGCACACATGCTAAAAATGTATCTCCTTAACCTGCAGTGTAGCAAACTTTTCACAAAACATTAAAATGGCATATTTTATAGACTGTCCTTTCCCAGGATGCTCAAAGCATTTTTTTTGGATACAAAATTAGATCATCTCATGACAACTGTCCTGTTAGAAAGGCACAGTTACTTGGGTTATCTGCAGAGAGCGAAAATCAGAAGCACTGAAAAGAAAGGTCACGCCAAAGTCAATGGCCAAAGCCTCAGTATACACTGAGAGCTTGGTTCACAGCCTAAGTAGACTCTAAGAGCTTGGTTTCCAATTTATAATACTTCCCTCCTGCTCTTCATTTGTCTGTTTTCTCTGGCAGGAAGGGATGTGGCCAGCGTGGAGGCTTGACCTCATCTCCTGCTCTGAGCTTAACTCTGCCAGCTTTCTGCTTCATCAGCTGCCCAAGCCGGCACTCTGGACAACATCTGAACAGGGTCAAGCCAAGAGGTGGCAACCACAGGTCCCTTGTGGATTCCTCCAGTGGCAGGACCTGAATCCTGTCAGCATGTCCAACGGGACTGCAAGGGTCACACTAAAGGGAAAAGACTTTCCCAGGTTGTATAAATAAATGAAAGGGAAACGCTGGGTCAACTAAGGGGCTCAAGATGGCGTTGCCTTCAGGGTTCCCCAGCCAGAGGTGGCTGACTAAGGTGAGCAGATAGGAACATAATACTCATCTGTAAGCATGGGTGCAAACATGTCCTAGTTTCAACTTTTTGTTATTCTTAGGTAGATCCAGTTATTTAGCTGAGTCCCTGACAGCACCACAGCTCTGAAGGGGTAATTTCCTTAGGTGGAAAGACACACATCAGAGACTAGATCAGGTCCGCGGACATTTCATTTGAAGGGAGGGGGCTGCAGATTCAGTTTCCAGGCGATTTATAGCAGTAAGAAAAAAAAAATTATTCCTGGTGCTCGTGCCAATAACGAGCATTAATAATAATAGCAACACCATAGTAAACTCCGGATCTACCAGGCGACCACCTCCCTGGCTCTCTAGTGCTAGCCCTTCTCACCTCCTGCCTGGCCTCATCAGAAACAAAACAAAGCGAAACAAGCCTCTGGTGCTGCCTCCGGGCTGCCCTCCAGATTTCAACCCCCACCGCCGCCCGCCCCAGAGGCGGATAGCTAGGCGAAGGCTACTGCAGTCTCTTCTTTGGCTAAGGGCGCGTTGGGACTCCGCGGTAACGTTTTCTTTGCAAATCGGAAACTTTCACCTGATTTGACCCTCTTGCCCCCAGCTCTTCCCCCGTGACAACTACAACAAGCAAAGACCAAACAACGCGCGCGCAATTCAGAGCTTTCCTTGGGAGTGTCAGGGCCTGAGGACAGGAAATCCGGGGAGTTGGCGAAGTCCGGCAGGTGGCGGGGACGCGAGTCCCCACCACATTCTCCTCCCACTGCCGAGCTCGGGCGGGGGCGCGGGGCGAGGCGCGGACCGGGGATCGGCCGGTAGGTGCCTGTGATGTCCCGGAGCCTCGCTCTCTAGCCCCCTTCCCGGCACACAGCTCTCTGCGAGGGACGCGGCCACTCTGTCCCCATCGCAGACAGAGGGAGGCTCCGCTGCCCGCAGGGCCAGAGAGAGTGAAGCCAGTGCCAAGCACCCCCACAAGCCGCGCTCCTGATCCCCCGTCACCATCCCTCGGTGCGCGCAGTCCCCGCTCCCAGCGCGCCACGTTCTCCACCTGCCCGGAGCGCCCCAGCGTCCCTGCTTCCAGAGAGCAGCTTCCCCAGTCCCGGCAGCCCCTCTCCGTCCTCTTCTCCCCCAAAGTCCGAGGAAGTCGAACTCGGAGCGGCCGGTCGGCTCGCCGAGGCTGCGGACAGTTGCTGGGAGAGCGCGGCGCGGAGCGGGACCGCGCGCAGCGCCCGGGGTCTCGCCCCAGAGGGCTGGCTCTGCACGCCCGGAGGCCGGAGTCCTGAGCCCCATGAGCCGGGCCCGACCTGAGCCCTCTGCGTTACCTGGCACGGCCGGCGACTCTCCGGAGACCTTCGGTCCTGACTGCTCCCGGGCGGGCGTCCAGCTCACATCGCTGCTTTCCCCACCGGGCGGCTGGTGTTCCTCTGGGTCCCTTCGGCCCCTGCTCGCGGCGCTGTCCCCGCCCCCCACCCCCCTGCCCCTCTGTCAGAAATGTCACAGCTTTTCTGTCTTCGGATGTTTCGCAAAGTCTCTGTGCGGTCACCAGGAGTTGGGGGGCACTGGCAGGTGCGCCAACCCCGCCGCCGCCCTGCCCTGCCCTCCCGCGGCGCCCTGTGTTCAGCCTGTCCGGTGAGAGGAATCCCCTGGTCGATGTCACCGTCCCCCGAGCGCGGCGCGCGGTCCGCTTCCCCTCCCTGGAGCCTTCTCTAGCCGGAGTGGCTGCCGCCTGCCTGAGCCGCTGGTCCTCATTCCCCTGCTCATGAATATTCTGACAGAGGCTAATGCCGTTGAAGTAAATTGAATTAGCCAATTGGTGCCAGGAATGTGCGCTCCTTCCTTCTGAGGAGCTGTCTGGAACACCACCAGATGAAAGCAATTAACGTCCGGTTGGCACCCTGTGGTTTAGACCAGTGAGGGGCAAAATGGGTTAATTCTTTAAATGCAGTTTAGATACCGCATTTAAATGTTTAAACTCCTCTATTGGCTGAGAGCAGAAGGAAATGTTACGAGGAAGAGAGAATAAAGGATATGTATGGACTTGGGGAGGGGGGCGGGGGTATTTATGTCTAAACTTTCCCCCTGAAGTTGAGGTACTTATTTTGCACAGATTCTGGAAGAGGCAGTTGATGAGGAGAACAGGAAAATGCAAATAAGATAGGAAAGGAAATGAGTAGCAACCTGGGTTTAACCTTGACCTTGAGGATACAAAAGACTAAGTATTTTCAAGAGGAGAGGTAGGGGAAGATGGCATATGTGAGGGAAACCTCACTCATCGACTTCTCAGAATTTCTTCAAATGCTCAGATTTCCTTTTTTTTTTTTTCCTCATAGGAAAATCTTAGAGTTTTATGCCTTAAGTAGAGATGGGGTAGAGGTATATTAAGGGTCAGAAATTTCTGAGGTGAAAACTGAGACCACCCTTCTCCCCGAGATGAAGAGGGTCCCCCAATTCACACAATTTCCGTGACAGGCCCATTCCAGAAAGGCAATTCCAGTTCTGTAGTTCAAACTCTTACTTCTAAGGTCAGATAAAAGAGCTTAGCAGGAGAGATCACCTCTCTCCTGTCCTGATTCCCACCCTAGAATGCCAAGTTATTGATGACAGCTTGAGTTTTGCAGTACCTAGAGGGGGACTCTTTGCCCAATGCCGTTTCTAGATTTCTCTTCAATATCTTCAAGTGAGGTCCTTGGAGGGTTTCCTCCCGCACCACTGATTGTAATACATAAAGTTACTTTGATTGAATTGATAAATTACTAATCTATTTGTACAACTGCTCTGTGGCCACATGATCAATGTGTATGAAGAACTGATAAAATGATGTATATAAACAACCAATATGATTCCCAAGTGTGTGACAATAGAAATAGCATCTCAGTTAAGGCAGTCATGCTATATTTTAATAGGCTTCAGCAGGCCTAGAATTAGAACTCATAGTTATAATAGTAATTACTAATAGCAGAGCAGCTAATGTTTATGGAGAACTTATGTGACAGACATGTGTTACACATGTTATTTTGTTTCATCTTTCCAACAACTATTCAGTCTAGACTATTACTTCTCTATTTAATAGATGTTGCAGGTGAGGCTCAAAAATGTAAGTGAAGCTGACCCTTGAACAACGTGGGGGTCAGAAGCACTGACCCTCATGTAGTCAAAAATCCACATGTAATTTTTGACTCCTCACAACTTTACTGCTGTCTGGAAACTTTATTGATAACATAAGCAGCTGACTAACACATATTTTATATGCTATACATTTTATATGCTGTATTCTTACAGTAGTCTGGAGAAAATAAAATATTAAAGAAATAACAAGGAAAAGAAAATGTATTTACTATTCATTAAGTGGAAGTGGAGCATCATAAAGGTCTTCATCATCCTTGTCTTCATGTTGAGTAGGTGGAGGAGGAGGAAGAGGAAGGATTGGTCTCGTCCTGTCAGAGATGACAGATGGGAGAAAATCCATGTGTAAGTGGCCTCATACAGTTCACACTTTTGTTGTTCAAGGATCAGCTGTGGTGTGTCCAGGTCATATAGCTCATAAGTGGAGAGATCAACCTTGACCCAAAGGAGCTTGACTAGCAGGCCAGGGCCTTCGGGTCTCCAGCAGCTTCCACTGCCTTTTTTTTCCCTAAAGAGAAGATCAGTTTCTTGGTGTTTTGTTGAAGTTACTTGTTTTTGGTGATCAATTCCTTACCCTAAATTTAGAGAAAAATATAAGCTTTTTTTTTTTTTTTTTTTTTTTTTTTGGGTGGGGATAGTGTGTTGGTTAATTTTATGGGTCAACTTTACTGAGCCATAAGGTATTCAGATATTTGGTAGAACATCATCCTGGAAGTTTTTCTGAGTATGTTTTTTGGATAAGAGTAGCATTTATTCTATTCTGTTGGTTGCTGGTCCACGCTAATGATTGTTTCTTTTGCTCTGCAGAAGCTCTTAAGTTTAATTAGATCCCATTTGTCTATTTTGGCTTTTGTTGCCATTGCTTTTGGTGTTTTAGTCATGAAGTCCTTGCCTATGTCTGTGTCCTGAATGATATTGCCTAGATTTTCTTCTAGGATTTTTATGGTGTTGGGTTTTATGTTTAAATCTTTAATCCATCTGTAGTTAATTTTTGTATACAGTGTAAAGAAGGGGTCCAGTTTTAGCTTTCTGCATATGGCTGGCTAGTTTTCTCAACACATCTGACAAAGGGCAAATATCCAGAATCTACAAAGACCTAAAACAAATTTACAAGAAAAAAACAACCTCATTGAAAAGTGGGTGAAGGCTATGAACAGACACTTTTCAAAAGAAGACATTTATGTGGCCAACGAACATATGAAAAAATGTTCATCATCACTGGCCATTAGAGAAATGCAAATCAAAACCACATTGAGATACCATCTCATGCCAGTTAGAATGGTGATCATTAAAAAATCTGGAGACAACAGATGCTGGAGAGGATGTAGAGAAATAGGAACACTTTTACACTGTTCTTGGGAGTATAAATTAGTTCAACCATTATGGAAGACAGTGTGGTGATTTCTCAAGGATCTAGAAATAGAAATACCATTTGACCCAGCAATTGCATTACTGGGTATATACCCAAGGGATTATAAATAGTGCTATTATAAAGACACATGCACATGTATGTTCCTTGTGGCACTGTTTACAATAGCAAAGACCTGGAACCAACCCAAATGCCCATCAATGATAGGCTGGATAAAGAAAATGTTACATGTATACACCATGGAATACTATGCAGCCATAAAAAAGGATGAGTTAATATCCTTTGTAGGGACATGGATGAATCTGAAAACCATCATTCTCAGAAAACTGACGCAAGAACAGAAAAACAAACATTGCATGTTCTCACTCATAGGCAGGTGTTGAATAAAGGGGAACATCACACAATAGGGTCTGTTGTGGGGTGGGGGGCTAGGGAAGGGATAGTGGGGGGTGGGGAGTTTGGGGAGGGATAACATTGGGAGAAATAACTAATGTAGGGAATGGGGGGATGGAGGCAGCAAACCACCATGGCAAGCGTATACCTATGTAACAATCCTGCAAGATCTGCACTTGTATCTCAGAAATTAAAGTATAATAATAAAATATATATATATATATATATATATATATGAAAAAAAGACTAGCATTTAAATTTGCAGACTGAGGCAGATTGCCTTCCGTAATGTGGGTGGGCCTCATCCAATCAGTTGAAGGCCTGACTAGAACAAAAGATTGGTCTTCCCTCAAATAAATGCTGGCCATGCTCATGTTTTTATTGGTTCTTCTTCTTATGAGAAGCCTTTGAGGTAAGAAATGTATTCTTTTACCCTCTACAAAATGTGTGTTTGAAAACCTTTTTTTTAAAAAAAAAAAAAAAAAAAAAGAAAACAGCACATTATAAAGTGCTGTTTCTTTGCACAGAGTATGTATTTAGTTTTCAGGGCTGGATAGTTGCGTATTTTTGTAGGTTCTTATGAAAAGCCTTTGGGATGAGAAATGCCATCTTCTACCTTCTACAATGGTAAAATTTTCTGGCCTGATAGAAAAAATTTTCTGGCCTAACGACTTTCAAACTCAGACATCATCTTTGTGGATTATGGATTTGTCAGCCTCCCTAATTGCATGAGGCAATTCCTTATTATACTGCATCTACCTATCTACCTACCTATCTACCTTTAGTTGGTTCTGTTTCCTTGGAGAACATCAACTAATACAAATGAATACATTCAGTAAATTCTACTATTTGTGAATTTCCTGTAGATATCAAATGTCTCCATTTCCTAATACACTGACACACCATGTGCAATTTTTTACTTAAGTTTTTCCAGACCTATTATTAATAAGGTAAAAACAAATTATATTTTATTTTTCCTGTTTTTTAAACATGGGTGGGACTATCAGATTTAAATAAAATTTTATCTTTCAAGTACTAACAATGGACTATAATATATTAGATTAAAGCAAAATTTATAGATATTATATAAAGGGAGAAATTTGAGTATTATAATTTTAGGTATAAGAACGATCAGGTTAAATATTTGAATTCAATTGTTGAGTACCCACTAAATGCTAGGCACATATCTATTCAAATGTTTTCTATTCAAATACACAGTTAAATTACTTTTAAACATTGAGGATCTGCCATATTTTCTTCTCCGAAACTTTGGGTAGTTTGAAACCTTTTATTTAAAAAAAGTGTGTGACTGTTTCATTCTCATATTAAATACTGATGATTTCCCAATCATGATTCCTCCCTTACAACGCTCTGTAAGTTCTTCCTTTTATAGAGAGAATCCACTTAGGATTTAGAAGCAACATTTCACAAAAATGTCTTTAGATGTAGGAATATGTATTTATATGAATATTTTAACATGATTTTAGATCCCATAAAATGTTATCAGGATGAGTGCTTTCTATATTTTCTCAAGAGTCTCAGTGGGCAGAGTTGGTGGAAGACCACCAGCCTCTGAGTGGGGACACTGGCTCTTTGTTGGGGGTGTGGGGCCCTCTTGGATAAGCCATTCTCCTTTGGAGTGAACCAAGCTAGTGAGTGTGCAAAGTGGAAAAAAATACCCTCTTTACTGAGGGCTTTGCTACTTGCAAATTGCTCTCCCATATGCTATCTCATTCCATCCTCCCGGCAACCCTATGAATTCAGCATTATTATCTATATTTAATTGATGAGGAATCTCAAGTTCACAGAGATTCAGTAACACTCAGCTTCTCCTAGGAAGGGATAGAACAGGACTTTAATCCAGGGACAAAGTCAC